ACACCTCATCACGAAGAGGTCCCCTGTTTACCCTACAGCCCTCGGACCGCCAGGCACCCCGTTTCGGTCACCACTGCATCCCCCGAAACTGCTCCGTGTCCCTCGGGAGGGTAGAGTCATCTCCCGGCGGCCATCCCGCCCTAGCCCCGTCAGGTGGCCCGGCAGCCACAGCCTGGTTTCGCCAACTACGGCCCGTCGTGTGAATTCAGTCCCCAGCCCTGCACCTCTTGCTTCCGTCCCATCTCTGTCCCGTTCTTTGCCCAATTCCCTCTCATCCTCCTCCAGCTCCTGCGCGTTATCCCCACACTCCCGTGGCGTGGGTGTGCTCTTCCCCCGCAGCGTAAGCAGTTCCTGCTGGCTGCTGCCTTCCCACCGCATCACTCCGCCAGGCAAGCGCCTGCATGGGGACCAGCCATCCCCTGTTGCACCGGGTGCGGCTCAAAGCGAGGGCCGAGAGGCATCCCTGGACATCCCTTTGGCCACTAAGAAGGGACAGCCAGGAGGAACAAGTTTCTTGTGAGATGTTTTATTGAACAAATTAAATTCCCCACTGATGTGCAGCTCCCAGCTATCACACTACAGCTCCCAAGTTTTCCTCTTTGAATGCATGCCCAGGGTTGTCCAAGCAGACACCCTATGAGCTTTCATTTGCAGGACTTCTCCTGCCTTTAGGCAGCAGGACCAGCAAGGCTCTCTCCAGCCCACTGGTGCTTTACAGCCCAACCCATTCATCACAGTGATTTAAAGAGCACAACTGAAATCAGCAAGCAGGAAGCCTTAGCTCCATCACTGGTTTTTCATCACAGTTGCATTTGTGCCTTTTACCTTTCATTATTAAAGAAAAGCTCACTCCGCTGGATGGTGTAGCCATCTGGCTTCGGTGGGTCAAAGGCAGGCATGGCCTTTACTCTGAATTTGATAATTCTTTAATAACCGGAACAACACTCTACTTATCCTGTTTATTCTAGTAATAACTCACATGCATCGAGATAGGCTGGTTTTTGTAGATTTGTTATGCTACAGTGAATGCAAACTATTCCAAGTGATAAGTTTTTTCCTTGGCATGTGTGTCAGTCTGCACTGAGATAAAAAGTGGAATTTCATTTGAAATATATAAACCCTGCATCTTTATTATTTATCAGTTAACTTCAGCAACCTTGAATGTGAACACAACCATAACAGGAGAAAAAGATTTTAAAAACAGTAACTGATAAATTAAACACGAGAGTATATTTTTGCAGTGAGTGAAGTAAAAGATTGCTGCTGCTCAGCAGGAGACAGATTTTTTAGCAATGTGATAGTGCAGATAGATGGGCGCCTGTCCCACAGGTGTGATTTGGGCTATTTTATTAAGAGTTATGTCTCTGCATCTTTGGAGCCTAAACACTGTGGAAAATTGAGCCCCACGTCCTTTAGGAATTTAATCCTGTCTGGTTTGCACTCAGAAACAGGGAGAAGAAATCATGTTTTCCTGTTTGCAGCTGGCATTTGGTTTCTCACTTTCAAATGGTGAGAGTGCAGGACTTAGTATCTTGGCATCTGTCAGAAGGCAAATGCAGCCAAGCAGAATCTTCTCTGCACATTAAGAATTTGAAGAAACTCAGGGAAGGATAAGTACAAGTTTTAGCTCCACTGGAAAAAAGAAAAATGTCAGCAGCAGGGCTGATGGGGGCACCGGGTCCTGCCTTCCCCTGCAGCCACCCACCCATTGCTGTGGGGTATCTGGCCCCACCTCTGGGTAAATGGTCTCTGGGCAGAGACAGGCAGGCAAGTGAGCTGTATGCAGGACAGGCATGCCTTGTTCCCCCAGGCTGGGATTGTCTGTAACCACTGCTTTTTGGATCTACTGGTGTTGACAGCTCTGTCTGCGCCACCAGTAGTGGCTGCGGCATGTGCTGGTGTGACACAGTTTAAACCCAGGCTGACCTCCAAAGAGAGAGGCTCCTTGCCCTTGCTGCTCATGTTAAACTCATTGAGCAAGTGTAATTGGAGGATGTCTCAGTGATCCAGTATATAATTTTTTTCCCCCTTATTGAAGTGATTTTAGTAGGCTATAGGCTGTAGGTAGTAAATATATTCAGCCTAAAGCAGGATAAATGAAACCCATTTTATAGTGTGCTCTCTCACTGTGTCTGGGGTGCTGGTCTGTGGGGTAAATGTCTGAGCATCCTGGCACCCTGGGGAGAAAGCACACACTCTGGGTGCCTGGGGCCAAGCAAGGGACTGCCAGTGTCCCTGCGGTCGTGCTGGTGTAATGCCCTCAATGAACCTTGCCAGCTTCTTGCAACAGGAGGGGATTTGCCGGGGGCTGTGTCACCTGGAGCATCTCTTGCTCCTGCGGCAAGGACAGGGCCACTTTGGCTTGTCCTCCCTATGGCCACAGACTCTTTCTTGTGCCTTCCCTTCCCTAACCATCTCTCCTCGCCCTTGTTTCAGGGCTGCCTGAGGATGCATCGCCTCTCAACTCAGACATCTCAGGGGTACCAAGAACCTGCCTTGCTGTGTCTGTGCCACCCTGCTGGGCTCCAGACCTGACACCTCTGTGCCCTCTTCCAGCAGGATGGCCCAAGCGGGGGGACCTGTCCGCTTCCACCCTGAGGAGGGCTGTGCTGTCTCACCCCCGCCATTTGCCCACAGGGTGAGCCGGCGGCCCTGGCTGGCAGGGGGGAGCCTCGACGCTGGGCGGCACAGCCCCCCGCCCTGCCTCACCCCCAACCTCAACGCCGGCCGCCTCCACCTGCTGCGCAAGGGCCTGGCACCTGATACCCGCCGCTGCCCCCTCGGCCTGTACAGCAGCACCGGCTCCTTGGCCCGCAGGCCGGCTGAGGCGGCACCCTTTGGCAATGGGAGCTGCCCGGGCACAGGGCGACTGACTGCCCCCTGCACCCCACGGCGGGGCCGGCCTGGCCCAGCCATCGCCTCCCTGGGCAGACGCAGCCCACCAGTGGCGGAAACCCCAGAGGGACACAGCTCTGTTGTCACCTTCCGCTTCATTGAGAAGGCCAGTGTGCGGACCCTGGGGAGCCCGACAACGCCCCATATCTGCTGGGAGAATGGCCCCTACAGCCTCAGCCGCAGCCTGGAGCTCACTGGGGACATGGGATTCCCCCAACCCCAGACCCTGCCCCAGGAGCGGCTCCTGCACACACTGAAGTTGGAGGCTTCCGCATCTGACCCGCTCCTGGCCGGGGACAGGACCTCAGGGGGGACACGTCCCTGTGGGAAGGAGTTCTGTGCCATCAACACCAGCTGCCTCTGCCGATCCCTCACCAATGGGCTGCCAGAGGAGTTCCCTACATTCTCCAGAAGCCCCCTGAAGCCAGAGCCCCGTTCCCAAGTAGGTACTGGGGTACCCCACAGCGGGCGTGGGGCTCTGCCCTGGGGATCCATTGTCCACTCATTACTCTTCCCTCTGCAGGGCAACGCTTGGCTGTACCCCCGGCAGAGCTCGGCCCATGCCCAGCGCATTGCCAAGGCCAAGTGGGAATTCTTCTATGGCTCCTCAGATGCCCCAAAGACAGGTAAGAAGTTGGAGGGGGATGCCCTTGGCTGTACCCACCCCTCCTTTGCAAGTCTGTATTGCTGCCAGAACTCTCCCTGGGGCTGCCCATCCCTCGGGGCTTTTCAGCACCCACAGGAAAGCCAAGTCTCCCTCAAGACTGGCCAGTCTGTGTCCTTCTGGGGCCAGATCCTGCACACACCAACCTCCCTGCAGAGTCCCCTATGGCCCTGCAAAGGAGATGACACAGAGCCCATGGCTGCCTCTGCAGAAGGGCTTTTGGGTTCAGATGGGGGCTCAAGGCTGGCTGCGGATGCACTAGCCCTGACAGCAACCTGTCTCTGCCTCTCACACTCTTTTTTCTTCTGCCTCCCTGTCACTGTTCCCCAGTGCACATCACATAGTGGAGTCACCTTCCCTGGAGGTGTTCAAGAAATGATTGGACATGGCACTTAATGCTGTGATTTAGTTGACATGCTGAAAAAGTTGGGAGGTTTTGATGTTGGCAGGAGGATCAAAGGTCGGACTCAATGATCTTGGAGGTCTTTTCCAACCTTAATGATTCTCTGACATGTATCATGAATGACACATGAGTTCTTGGTGTGTGTGTCTGTGTGATGCTGCAGGAGTGGCTCCTCAGAGCTCTCCAGTGCAGCTCCCCATTGCTCTGAATGCTTGGGCCTTCCTTGCAGGCTCTTCTGCCCCTGACTCCACGCCCTTGGCTGAGTCCCCCCACAAGTCTGTCTCCCCACTGCCTGCTAAGCCACCAGTGTCAGTACCTGAGCACAGCCTGAGTCACGTGGAAGTGGAGATAGAAGTGTCTCCTCTGGGCAACCAGAAGCCTGGCTCCTGTGAGACTGGGATTATAAGGAGGACAGTGAAGTACTCTGAGACAGACTTGGACACTGTTCCACTGAGGTGCTATCGTGAAACCAACATCGATGATATCCTGGCCGAGAAGGAAGAAGTGGATTCAGCAATTGAGAGCCAGAAGGACAGTGAGAGCAACCCAAGCTTTGGGGGCACGCCAGGCAGAAGGAACAGCACACCAGAGGAGCCCCCCACCCCAGGCACTGGCTGCTTGAAGGATGGGCTGCGGGACAGGGACATGGACGAGGACAATGAGGTGTTTGCAGCAATGAAGAAGGAGAATAGAGAAAGGTGAGGCTCTGTGCATGAGGCAAAAAGTTCCTCTTGCCCTCCTTATTATATCCTGCATGGCAAAATGGGCTCTGCCAAAAAGTGTCTGACACAAAAATCCCATTAGCTCCATGCAAACTGTGTGTGTGGGTGAGATGGGATTCCTGGATTTCACCACAGGGACTGGGACTGGGGCTGGGACTGGGAGGGGGCCCTCACTGAACTATGGGAAGAGTAAGGCAGCACAGGTGATCCAGCCCTGTGCACTAGGCTCACCCCTGGGTGAGCCCTTGCAGCTCAGGTTGCCTGGCTGAGTCAAGGCTTCCCACCATGAGTCCTGACAGGTTAATTACATTCTGCCCCAGTGCTGCCAGGTGCTGGGGTGATGGTGTCAGGGTACCTGAGCACAGGTCGTGTCCTACAGCTGCTCTGGACTGGCAGATACTGCCGTACTATCCTACCCTTCACATATGGCTGTGCTTCAGTGGTGGGACCGGTCCCATTTGCTTGGCCTCAGTAGGTATTTACCATGTTTGGGAAAGAGTAGGGGATACATTTGGATGCAAAAAGCTTTTTCTTACCTTTTGTATGATTTTTCACATGTGTGGCAAAACACCCTGTGCTGGGAGGCTGATGGAGTGGGCGATACCAAGGTTATCATTCAGTTGCCTACCCCTGGGCGGCAAGCGTGCTCCGAGCTGCTGTCTGCCCACTGCCAGGCATGGGCAACCAGGACCTATGAGACATGGCCCTTTGGCCTGGTGGCATGAGACTGCCCATGGAGGTTTCTCTGGAGTGGTGGTTTGGCTGTGAGAAATGACGAACATCACCTGCTCCAGAGCACTGTGTGGGACAGACACCTGGAGGGGAAAGGCCCTGGCTGGGAGTAGTAGATGCCTGTGCAGGCAGTGGCAGCCAAGGTCGTCTCCTGACATGTATTGTCAAAGAGTCTTGAGTGAGGTGAGGAGTCTCAGCATCATCAGCAATTGCTCCATGGGAGTTGGGATAGGTTTCATCTGTGAAGCACAAAACCAGGGTGATGCCTGGGGTGCCGTGTGGCAGCATGCACTCATCCAGCTGTGCAAAAGGTAGATGGGGGCATATAGGTGGAAAAAAAGGAAAAGAGAGGTTTTGATATTGGCAGGAGGGAAAAAAAAAAAAGAAAATATACCCCTCAGTGGTGCTGCTGCACTGGGAAGAAAAAAATGAAGGTGCTTGGCTGATAAAGAGGGAAGGTGTACATGCCAAAGGGAGCTGAGTTCCTGTCAGTTTGTCCAGCCTTTGCATCTCTGTTGGAGGGGACAGATACATCTCTTCCTGCCACCGACCCTGTTCTCAAAACATTTGAATTCTAGAGAAAAGCTGAAAATAAGCCATTGGTAATGTACTTTTTTTTTTCCAAAAGACATTTTGAGTAAAATGTAAAGTTATTACCACTGCAAGCGAGTTCTTCAAGTTGCTGTAACAATTATCTTGCATAGTGGTATTTTTTTTCCAAATATGTTCTAGGCTACTACAAGTTGTGTGAGCTGTAAGCCTAGACCTGCTTTTTGTCCTCTGAGGCACCCTACTGTAGCTCCCCAGGCAGTGCTGAATCCTTGAATGTGTCCTTAAATGCATTGTTGCTCCTAAAAGATGATGCTCCTGGTATAATTACCAATGTATAAATAGTGATGTCATGTTCATTTTGCTCGGCTTCTTTGTAGACCAGTGGGGTGCTTTTGCTTTGCAGCCCACTGAATATTCCCCTGGTAGGTGCAGACCCTGTGGACTGTGTCTTGAAAATTATGAGGCTCAAACTGCGAGCTTGTTCAGTCCCTGCATCACAGCCCTGGATTTTTGCTTACACACTGTTTTGAGCTATGCAGCTGCAGTCCTCATCCCTGTTTACCAGTCACCAGTATTGATGTTTTCTACTTCAGGCTTTCTGCTTTGCTTGCTCACAGGAGCAGTGAAGCTGGGGCAATGAAGGAGCCCCCCCTGACTCCCTGGACCTGGCACCATTCTGCTGCTGCAGGAGCTGCTGAACCTCAAGCCTGTCTTGGTAGCTTGGAAGGGCCAACCTTACAAAATTATTGAAGCACTTTTGGATGCTGATTTTCAGTAGATATGTACATCTGTTTGACTATCTAGCTCTAAGTATTTAGCACCCTCTGCAAGGGGAACTGGCTTGGTACTACCTTGTTGTACTTAGTATTCTGGCCAAAGGTCAGAGCCTTCTTTGGTGGTTTACCCTCCCAAACTAAGAGAGCATGCTAATAGCAAAAATAATCCAACACCAAATCAAACAAGGCATGAAAAGCAATGAAAAAAATGGTGTCTTCTTCCAGCAAATCTGCTCTCTGAATATATTTAAAGTCAGATCTACTGACTCTAATGACTAGTCTAAGCCTTTACTGTCTTTATTCCCACTAGTCCCTGAGAGCCAAGACCTGTCAGTGAGAGCAGGCTCAATTCCCTTCCTCCCTGAGCATCAGCAGACGTGCTGGCTAAGCTGTAAGAAGAGCCTGGCTTGGCCCACAGTGTGGGTGCCTTGGGCTGATAAGAGAGAAGAGGCTTTGCTACGGGGTGCCCTGGTCTCCTGAGAGCACAGAGGGCTGATGGGAGGCAGTGATGCTTTTTCTCCCTGCAAGTAGAACAGTTTTGCCCAGGAAAGCCCCTAGATCTGCTGCTTGGGGAGCCTTTCCAGAGCTTTTGTGCTCACTGCTTAGTGGCAAAAAAATAGCTGCAGGGCAAGCCTTGTTGGAGATTAAAAAGATGGTTATGGCCTCAATTTCATCAAACGTTGAAGTAGATGCTTAACCTGCCTCAGTAGCCACTCTGCTGTGTTTTGCTGAGGTTGAGCCTCTGTCTCAGTCCAAACTCGCCATGGAGCCACTGATCGGGGTGATGCTCCTGCATCCCATGGGCTTGGTCTGGAGGGGGGATGCTTGGGGTGATGTTGGCAGGCACCTGGCAATGAGCAGGAGAGACGCCTGCAACTCTTGGGGAAGGACTGAAGACAGCGTGATGGCGTGGATGTGGCAGGGGAGTGTGGACAGTCAGGAGGAGACTGCAGTGCCTGTGGTCAGTACCTGTGCCTGAGCATGGGTCAGAGTTAGGACACTGAGCCCTAAGAGCAGGCTGCTGCCTTGCTGGAGGAGTGCAAAGGAGCCTTTGGGGAGTGCAGGGAGCTGCTGGGGCTGGTCTGTATGTGAGCTTTTCTCAGAGAGGAATAAAACAAGGAGCTGCTTGATGGTGCTGTACGGTTTTACCTTCTCTGAACTGAGCGAAGATCCCCACACAGCGCCTGCTGTGCCTGTGCAGGCTGGAGGAGTAGAGCACGATGGGGGCAGTCAGCAGTCTGGAGGGTCACAGGAGCATTTGGCAGAGAGTGAAAAACACTGAGGGCCAGAGGAGAGATTTTCCCCTCTTCTTCCCCTCACCAGGGACAGCACAGCTCTGCAGCACCAGACAGGGAGGGCAGAATGAGCCCCTTCCCCTCCATCAGCCATCAGATGCAACTGGAGAAACCCGGTTGCTCAGATCCCCGTAGTCCCTATATGCAAACCTTTGCCTGAGGTGCTGCTGGCTTTGGCACTTACGTGCAGTGCAGTAGAGCCATCAGCTCCCAGCATCCGCTTCCTCTCTGTATCTGCCTGGCCCTCTTCTAAGGAAGGCTCACTGCTCCTCCCACACCAGCTCACGGCTGGAAACCTATTTGATCTCCCGCTGCCCGTCACCCTTGCACAGATGCTCAATTACAGCTTCTTAATCTCCTTCTTTCCTCTGCTCCTCCCAGCTGTGTTTGTCTGGCTTGGTGTCAGTGCACTGGCCATTCCTGGGGGACCAGAGCAGAGTGTGGAGGGGCTGGGCAGCACAACAGGAGCTGATGAAACATCCAGGTCTGAGCAGGCAGCATTGCATGTATGCTCCTGTGACTAGATCCTTCTGGAGCTGAATGGCTTTGTGCTTGATATTTTGAGGTGGAAAGATTGCTTCCAGAGCTTGGATGGTGTGGACAAAACCAGCTGTAGTTTTTTGGTGGCTTGGTGGCAATATACTTGATCACAAGAATGAGTCCAGCTCCCTCTCCTGGGAACAAGATTCCTTCTGTCTGCTGGCATTGTCTTCCCTGGCACAGCCCAGTCACCCTCTTTATGGATTTGAGGTGCAAAACAGTCAGCAGCATTAGCTTGGTTTAATAGCATGCAGCTGGGTGTGGGGGATGGTGAATGCACATTCACATCCGTAAAACACATCTGCAGATGTTAAAGAGGTCTCTTCTGCCTTGTCCTGCCAGAAAGCCATCCCAGAGGTGACTGCTCCTGGGGCTTCTACAGGAATGGTAAGAGTGTCAAGTGGTGCTGCACAGCCAGGATAATGCTGGTGGATGGGCAAGATCAGCCTGCACCCTGCCTTGCTTACCTGTATCTGGCTTTGCTGCACTTCTCTTGAAGCCAGCTGGCACTCTGGGGGAGTCAAGCTGCCAGCTCTTGGCCTGCTGAAGTAATCAGGGTGAGATTTTTGAGCAGCATGTGAAGGCTAATGAATGAAAATCATTTGGTGTGTGTAACAGCAACACATCTTCTGAGCCCTCTGTACGAAGCTGTTTGTTCATAACAAATGTTATGACAGGCTGGAGCAGTTCCTCTCCTTTAATCAGAGGAGAGAGTGGCATAACAAGTGCTTTTCCGCTGCTTTAATATAATGATAGCGGCTTATGAGTAAAGTAGGCTTTTAGGGCTGTGTTTGTGCTTGTACAGCTGAAGCATTCATGTTCCCTGGGTTGGAAATGTCCCTGTTGTCACGTGCTCAGATGGGTGGGTAGGCTGCACTTCACCTCATTTACAGGACAAAACATTCAGGGCTCCAGGGTTTAGAAACTTCTGTGTTGGGCTGGACCCAGACCAGCATTGGAGACAGGTTTGGCCTTTCTGTGGGGCTGACAAGATGATGAACCAAGACCAAGCCTGGCATCTAGGACATGGGGCAATTCAGATCCCCAAGCCCAGAAATGGGTGTGAGTCTCCCTCTCTACTACCTAGGGAAACCTGGGGCTCAGTATCACTTTGTGCTCAGTCCCACATGTCTCCTGGGACTCAACATCACCTTATGATGGGTCCAAGACATCTTCTGGAACCAGCAGCAGACCTTGCAGATGGGTGTTGGTCATGCTCTGAGCAAGGTGCTCAGTGACCATAGTGCAGTGTTCATGGAAGAAGGTGTCACACTGTGCTGAGCAGCTTCAGGAGGAGCCTTTTGGGTGGTGGAAGCTCTGAAGGCTCATGAAAAATTCAGCCACTTCCAGATTTGGTTGGAAATGGAGCTGAACCACATCCTGCTTCTGGTGCTTGAGCCCTTTATTGGATCTAAGCTCAAGCCAAGTGATTGGGAGCAGTAGCCATCTCATAAGCTTCTTATGAGGATGAGCCACTGAAGGAACAAAAATCTGTGGCTCATTAAAGGAGAAGCATATGGCTGGAGGGAGGCCAGCCCAGTCCCTCTTCCCATGATGTCTTGGGCAGGTGAGGCATTTCCTTGATGGTCTACAGATGTTCAGAAGAGATTTCTGCCCTCCTCAGTTTCCTTTTGGAACAGCATGTGGGCTTTTGTTTCAGGGCCTTGATCCCTTGCTCCTCAATGACCAGTTCTTCTCACTTTCTTTCCCTCTAGGATCATGGATCGAGACACACAGGGTATGCTCAAGTCTCCAGTGCCCTTCCTACTAGGGCACAGCCTCTCCAAGGATGGCATGGACTCTTTCAGCAAGCATTTTGAGACCATCATGGAGTCCCATCGAGCCAAAGGCACATCTTACACCAGCCTGGACTCCATTGACATCCTTTCCTCCCCAGCCCGCACCCATGGGACTTTTTTCACTTTTGACCTCCCAGCTCTCACCCCAGAAATACAGGGACAAATCCGAGACAGCGCCAAGCTGATTGAGGAGAACTTTGCTCCTCTGGCTCATTTGGAGCCAGACTCTGGGACCAGTTCAGCCACAGATGCCCCCTGGACAGAGAGGGAGGAGGAGCGGGGGAGAAGACGGAAGGGTGCTCGGCACAGCCCTTGCCACTCAGTGGACAGCTTTGGTACTCCCTTGGCCTCCAACACAAGGTGAGTGACCAAAATTGCTTGCTGTCCAGCTGGACCACTACAGCTTGATGTGGAGCCTAATGCTGAGGTCTGTTTTGCAGCCAGAGTCTGACTTGTGTTGTTGGGGAAGTGTCAGGACTGTGTGTGCTGGATTTTCTGGGCAGTGGCTGATCAAGCCAGTGATCACCATGGTGTTGTGGTAGGTGTGTTGATGGGAACACAACTCCTTTTTCATTTTTGCCTGCTTTTTAGGTGCAAAAGGGCTGTAAGGTTTCCTCCAGCCAAGCAAACAGGGAGTCCCAGGACTTCAATCCTGTGGTGGTTTCCATTGCAGGACAGTCCAGCATCCATGGTGGCTCTGGGGAGAGGCCAGTCAGAATTTAACTCCCAGTAGAAATCTGACAGCCTTTCCCTACTGGGGGCTGTATCCCTTGCCATCTGAGTAGCAGCCTCTTGTTTCTTGAGCTGTTGTCCTGGCCTCCTGAACCTCCTCAGCCTTGTTTATTTTAGGAGATGAAGGGCAGAGATGAGCACAGCCCACCAGAGGCTCCCTGTACATTGCTCCCAGCCTGCATTCACCTGGGCTCAGGATGGCTGCCCCTTGTGCTGGGGGCAGCAATGAGTGGGCTGGGGGAGCTCAGCCCCACCACTTCCAACCTGTCCCTATGTAAGTCCATGTCCAGGCTGAGACACCTTCCTGCACTCCTCCCTCTTCCAGCAAGGTCTTGTGCTGAAGCACTTGTGATGTGGCAGTTTGATAGGCTGCATCTTTTCCACACTCATCTGGGGTGTGGACAGGTCTGGCTTGGATGTCAGATCCAGTCCAGTGGTTTAGCTGCAGAGTTGGTGGCTATTGAACTACCTGGTGTCTCATTCATGCCAGTGCTGACCTTCCTGTTTTCGTTGCCTCCCTACAAGGTCTCTTCGCTCAGTGACCTTTTGTGCAATGCCAGAGCATCCTGAATCCCTCATCTACTTTCTAGGCTTAGGCTTTGGTCTTTTCACCACCAAACTGATGTGACTCCTGGTCACAGTCTGTGCCATCCTTGTAGGCTGGGTTTGTGCTGTAAAACCGGTCATGTCTGGGAGATACGAGGCAGTGAAGGGTGGCGGTATCCGGCCGTGGTCAGTGCTCTCTGCAGGAAGAATTGCTTCCTATTCCTCTGTCAAGGCAAGGGACTGAAACAGAGCACCCTGGAGAAACTGAGAGGACAGTATCTGACTTACTGTCTGTGGGATGCCATTGTACCACAGCAACAGTGCCACAGGGGCACAGGGAGATGTGAGGGTGCAAAGACACAGCTAGCAGCAGGGATGACAATGAGGCGGCTTAACAGAGGTTATTCCTCACTGGTTTATAGACAGTGGAGCCCAGAGCATGCCGACAGTGCTGAGGACTCTGCAGCACTGTGCTTCCCTCCTAGCTCAGGCTTCAGAGCAGTGCTGGGCACAGGCTGTGGAGGGGTATTGTGTATCCCCCAAACTGCCCTATATCTTTTCTGAGCCCACCTTTGCTGAGCCTCTTGTCTTCTCCTCTTCCAACAGGACTACCTTTGGTGGCAGGGGAACATAGGGGAAACCCAGCTGCAGCCCCCACTGTGCTCCCTGGACTGGGGACTCCAAGGCTTGGTCTTCCCATTGTACCATAAGCTCGCTTCTGTTACACATGCACGCAGAGTCCCAGGCAACTATCCTTCCCCATTTAGAAACAATTCCCTTGGTTATCAGTAGGTCCCTGCATAGTTCTTAATTTTGTCCAGTTCAGGCCCTGTTTCTTGCCAGTCTCCTAGGCTACAGATGATGTTCAGACCCCCCATGCTGCCCTGCAGCAGGTGAGCCAGTGCCCTGGCTCCAGTAGAGGCTGCAGGAAAGATGATGAGAAATGAGATGTGGGAGAACAGAACCCAGCAAGGAGCAGCCCAGCTCTCTGCTCCCTGGTGTGGAGTGAGCCTCCCCTCATAGTCCCCTTAGGCAATGGGGAGAGAGGCAGGTGTGGTTGGGATTTGCCATCTTGTGCAGTGGAAAGGAGTGGAGATTGGGACTGGGAACAGGAACTAGGCTGAGAAGGCATATGGCACCAGGGTCGGTCTGAGACAGCCCATCATCTGCAGAGTCAGTACTCAGGACATAGGGCTTTCTGGCAAGGGAGAAGTCCAAGAAGTTTCCTCTTCCACATCACTGGTACCATCAACTTTCTAGACTCTGAGTGGAGCCGACCGCAGAGCTGAAGCTTCCCACTTAGTTTGAGGAAGAAGTGTCTGTGCTGATTGCTCAAAGGTTCTCATGGTCTGGAACCAGCAGATCCTGATGTCTGGCAAGGCTGATCTTCTCGAGCAGAGAGTATCCTTGTAATGCTCCCACTAAGGGGTAGTTAATGGAAATTGCTGAGGAAAACTAAGGAACCTCTGCAGCCATTGTAATGCAACATTACCCGTGCCAGCAGGGCCAGAGTAAGGCATTAGCCACTGCCCAGAGTCACTGCAGAGTCACAAGCAGTATAGACTGGCTGCCGCCAGTGCAGATGAGACCTTGGGCAGGGGGACTCTGCGGTGGAGACTGTGCTTTACACTGTCTGTCAGTCTCAGGGTTGGCAGAGGTGACTTCAGGCTGCAGGGCTTTGGTATGATGTGGTGACTGGTGATGAACACCAGTGGGTCTGGACCTGTGCTGACCTGCAGCTGTCCTCCTTGTGCCCTCCAAAATCTTTGGTGTTCATTGTTGCAATGCTTGGGGTTGGGGTCTGGGCTGGAGATGGCCCTGCATCCTGTGACTTTTTGCCTCTCTTGGTGTCAGTCGGTGATGCCCCTGAATTGCTGGGGAAGTGTTGTGTCCCCTGCAGCCCATGGCCTTGGTTCACACCACCTTGTTGCTCACGCCAAGGCTCTGGTGTCCCTCAGCACACAATAGTCTGAAACCACGCTTTTATCTTGACCTTGTATGCGGAAAGTGTGTCTAAGTGCAGACCCAGAGACGCCTCCCTGGGTGCTGGGATGCATGCACCTACTGCAGCAGGCTAGATTGAAAGGGAGGGAGCAGTGGCTGAACACCCCCGCTGCCCCCCCACCCCCCGCGGGGCACCCCACAGTGGTGGGCACACCCCAGCATGGAGCAGAGGCTCAGTGAGTCGGTTTTATCACCCCATTTGGGCAGGAGGTGAAGGTGTGCATGTCCCCCACTCTGGCTGAGCAGAGGGCTGCAGTTAAAGCAGTCTGTTCATGTGGCTATGACATTGACCCACAGAGCATGTGTGGAGGCATAGCCCCCAAGGGCTGGGGGGGTCCCTCCGGACAGGCGAGGCTGGCCAGGGACAGATGCAGTGCTGGCGAGATGTCGGGGCAGGAGCCGGGACAACCCTGGGGACTGCAGGGAGTCGCTTCTGCGGTGGCAGCCAGACTTCTGCAACTGCAGGTCCAAATTGCAAGACTTGACCAAGCTGCCAGGTGCAGGCAGGTGCCCAGAAGATCACCTGGCTTGCCCAGTCCTGTACACGGGCAGCCGGGGCTGCCGGCCCACAGGCAAGGCAACGCAGGCTCTGGGGCATCAGCCCCGAAGGGATGTAAATGGGCAAACTGCATCTCTCTGGGAGTGTAAGCCCCCTGAAATCCAGCTGCCCAACTTCCATCCCACTCCCCTGGAGCCAGCCTTGGCCCGGGCACAGCCGTGCCGGTCCCTGAGGGGTGCCCGCGGAGGGAGGGGACGTGACACGTCCCCCGAGCGGGGCAGGCTCTGCCGGGACCTCATCGGGGCACGCCTGCTGTGGGACAGGAGGAAGGGCAGGCAGGAGAGGCAGCATCGAAGACGGGGCTGCAAACCGCCTGGGGAAAAGGGCCAAGCAGCACGGCGAGGGGCAGCACTGCGAGGGGCAGCACGCCCGGAGCCTCGCTAGAGGGAGAGCTCATCCTTGGAGCTGCGGCTGCGTGGGAGCAGCGGGGAGCCCGCGGGGCAGGCTGCCCCGGGCGGAGGATGCGCCGCCACTCAGAGCTGCGTCCCTGCCAGACCGCGGCCGCTGGCGAGTGCTGGAGCGCGGGGCTTGCCAGACAGCTCCGCTGCTGTTCTTTATAAGGTCCCTTTTGTTACTGCAGCGGTCGGGGAGCCGGTGCCCCTCCCGGGGCCAGCGCAGGTCTATCATCTGGCCTGGGCTCCCAGGTGGCACTGGGCAAACTGGTGAGATGGTGCCCAGAAGGGCTATGCCCAGTTTGGGGCCCCGTGGGGTGGATTCAGGGTGTGATGCATGAGGTTGAGGGTGAGAGCTGAGCAGAGAAAGGAGGGCAATGAGGAAAGCATGGAGATAGGGGAAGGAAGGTATGGGATGGGCTGGAGTGGGAACACAGTAGAGGAATAAGGCTAGAGAACAGGATGAAGAGGTCTCACCACAAGCATTGGCACAGCAAGAAATTAAGCACAAGCCTTGGGGGGCTTTCCCCCATGCATTTCCATGTTGAGCCATGAAGGCCAGCAGGAGCCAGGACGTAGGACGAGTTAGCCCTCCATGGCATAGAGGATGGGGACAGTGGATCCCAGGGATGGCAGTCTGCCTGCAGAGGCATGAGCAGCAGCACATACCTGTGGGATGCAGCCCCATGTGTCAGGTGTTAATTCAAGTTTTCAGATCTGACTCAGAGCCCCTAGGCTGGGCTTGGCCCAAGAGTCTGTGTCATGGGTTGAGGTGGCTGGGTTTTTGGTAGCGGGGGGGGCTACATAGGGTGGCTTTGATTAGAGACCCAGGTTTTCCTGTGCTGACCCTATGGCATCTGTGTCTCTGAAAGAGAAGACAACCCTCCACCCAGCAGGTGAGTAACTGGATTTTAAGGCTCTCAGCTGGTTCCAGAAATTGTTTGGTGGGATTGCAGCGTCAGTCCCTGTCCTCTGCAGGAGTGGTTGTGCCCCTCACAAGAGGAGCTGGTGGGATGGGGTGATGGAGGACAGGTAGACATCTCCAGAGAGGGCTAGTGCTGCAGGGGAGGTTCTGGAAGTCTACAGAGAAACAGGACTGAGGAGGGGCACAGCTGCCCAAAGTTCAGTCCTACATGGATCTGTCAGCAGTAACACTGGTGGGTACTGCTCTGGCTGGGTGATTTGAGGACCATGTTGGACTCAGCAGCTGCCAGAAAGCAGCACCAGCCCCGCCTATGGTTAGAGGCTGGTCTGGCTGACCTTCAAGTGTCCTCCCAGCCCTAACTTCAATTCTGCGAGGAATGAACCAGCCCAGATCTTGGCTGTCATAAATCAAAGTCGCTCCACTGAGACCGATGGAGGGAGCTGCGTTTATTTAGCTCAGCCAAAGATCCGGTCTGGTACATTCTTAGCAGCAACATTAGGCAGGCTGGGTTCACTTGGCGGAGGCATTGGGCATCTAGCCCTGCATGTGGGGCTTTGGGAACTGAGAGCAGAGTGCTGCTCTGCCTTATGCATGTCTCTTGTGGACTTGCACCAGGCTCCTTGCCTTGTCCCTTCATGGTGCAGGATGAAACCAGCCTCATCTGGGGAGCAAGAGGCATTTGGATTGCGGTTGAAGGTCTTGCGTTTCCTACAGCAGGTGTCTCACCTGGAAATGTGTCAGGCAGGATCTGGACAGCCTAGGAGCTCAGCTGAGCACCCCCAGCTGAAACCAATGACTACTGGTCCCAGCCTGTTTCCAGGGAGTCTCTCCTCTCCAGCTCCCGGGGACAGATTGTTGGTGCAGGAAGGATCCCACCATGCAGGTACAGTGTGGGAAGAGTTCCACCATGCAGATACATTGCTGCTGGCAGCCAGGAGCTGGAGGTCAGCTCCCAGTCCTAGTTTTGCAGAGCTAGTACCTTATGGCTGCTTCACATCCAGGGGAGAAGATTTGCTCCTGGTTGGTGGCAGCCATGTGGTGCTGAGTGAGTTTAGTTGATGGTGTCAAGGTGGAGAGGATATCAGGACTCCTGCAGTGCCACAGTGCATTGCAGCCAGGGAATGTGCTGTGGTCTGTGCTGCTGGGCTCCAGGATGTTGGCCAGAGGAGAAGTATGGGGGTAAGATGATGAACCAGCTCCAGGAAAGAAAGGAGTGTTTAGCCCTGAGAAGGAACATTTGGGCCCTGGACAAGTATCTGGCCTGGGAGAAGGAGTGTGTGTGGTGTGGTGGCCCTGAGCAGGACCATGGCCCTGCAGCAGCTCCCCAGGGCTGGAAACACAATGTGGTCCTTCTGCTGAGCTAGAGTGGGAGATGGTCAGTGAAGAGCCTCTGTCCCAGGGCAAGCCCTGATCTGGACTACGTGCCTTCCTTGCAGAGCCCCCCAGAAGTGCCTCGCTGTGGCTGACACAGCGTGTCAGGGGACTTGGGCTCTCTAGCAAACACCTCTGAGGTGACAGGAGGACCTGTGCTCCAGATGACTTGAGTGGTGGCAGCAGGGAGAGGGATGAGCCAGCACTGGGTCCGCTCGGGCATGACTTATCTCAGTCTGAGGATACTTGTGCAATACCGAATTTGATCTTTGTTCCTTAAGTGTGTACCTAATGTAAAAACTATTATCTCAGTGTTTCTTCAAGCCAAACTAGAATGTCACTTTACAAAGTACAGTAAAACAACCACCCTGAGACATTAGCTCATTGGCAAGAAAATTAGCATCATCTCAATTGCCTGAGACATAGACATGTCTCTTGCTCTGCTCTCCATTTGCTTGAGGACTGGCCTCTTGGTTTTCTCTCTGTTAAGCTGCACATTCTCCAAGCCAGCTGGGGCATTGAGTGGTGACAGACAGGTGCCACAAGGGGGGCACTCTGAGTCTATTGAGGCTGATTGTCCATATTTAACAGCATGAGAGTGGCTTGAGCGATGGAAGAAAACCTATTTCATGGCACGGTTGGGTTGTGCCTCATTCTGAGAGCAAGGTTATGTTTTATGATGTAAAACCCCAATTCAGTGTGGGGACTTGGTGAAGGAGGGAACAGCGGATCCCGCTGGTAGAGCTACTTTGAGACTCAAGCCTTGAGATCACTGCATGCCCATTACAAGAAGCAAGGCAAGAATTGCAGTCACAGGTTGGGAGCCTGCAGGGACAGAGAGGTTTTGAAGGACAAGACAGATTTTGTAAGTGGCCTCATGCCTGGATGCTCAGCACTAGGTAGAAAAGCTGAGGACCACAGAATGGGAAGAGAGGTCATGGGGGAAGACTCAGAGCTCTGGGTTTGTCCCTGGGGGCTTCAGGAACCAGCCATGTGAGGGAGGACAACTCTCAGGCAGGACAGGTGAGGTCCAAAAGCATATCAGGAGTTTTAGTGATGGTGGTTGAGAAGAATTAAAAGATCTTCAGAGGGTGACTGAGCAGCCTCCTGCTCTGGAGGTACAACTGGGGCACGGGTGGCTTTGGGTTTTGTAGCTCAGCCTCTAGCTGGAAAAGCACCATTGGAGCTGCTGGGCTGGGAAGGGAACAGTGCCTGTGCCCTTGTGATAGCAGATGAAGAGTTTTAGCAAAAAATACAGTCATCGCAGCCCATGGCTGGCAGGTGCCAGTTGCTGGAATGAATTCATCTCCTCTGCTTCTAGGAAGAAAAGAGCCTGTGACCTCTATCCTTGGTTGAGATCACAGTGACTGCAGCCACACAAGGAGCTGAAGAGAGCCTGAGGTGTGTGCCCAGCACTGGCCCAGCAGCACCCAGCCTGTTCTACTGTCAAGCACTCAAGTTAGCTTTGGCTCTGCCAGACAGCTTCCCCCACTGCACATCAGCTGGGGGAGCCCCCCAGGATGCTAACACGCCTGTCAGTGCTGTGGAGGGCTCCCCTGGGATAGGCACCACTGAGCAGAAAGGAGGCTTGTCCTTCTTGAAAGAAGCAGAGCCTCAAGGAGATTGGCCTGGGTAATTGGCTCAGGAGAGCAGGCCTCTTAAAACTCAATTAGAAACTTTTAAAAATAAATCAGACTGGAACATTGCAAGGGCTGCCAGAAAATTTGGGCGAGGTCAGAGTTGCTTAACGTTCCTTGTTGATTAGATTCAACCAGCTTTTAGTTGGGATAACTTCTGCATGGCTGAGTCAGATTGCTTTGGGGGCCAAGCCAAGAGTGTCTCCTAACGTGGCCATTTAAGGCATGGTGGGCTGAGAGCTGATGGGTAGCCTGGAGAAGACAGTACACTCCACTGTGAGCTGGGAGGCCAGGGGGGTGTAGTGCTTTGAAGTGAGTGAGTGGGAAAAGGTGAACGAAGAAATTACAGTTGTCTTGTCTCGGGTAGAAACTGTGCTTGAGAGCAGCACGAGGAGTTTGTCCAGATTAAAAAATGAGTGTGGATCTGTAGGACAGCATGTGATGTGCACATGTTTCTGCTCCAAGTCTCCGCTACAGCTGAGCTTGGCAGAGCCTGAGCCCACACATACAGTTTCACAGGCTCAGAGTGGGGGACTTTGGAGCAGTTGTACATCCAGTTTGGATGTGGATTTGGGTGTCTTGATCCTGTCATCTGTCACTGGAGCTGTTCCATCACCCCACCTCTCCTCCAGCTGCATCCTCAAACCTTCCTTTAGCTCCCAGTCCCAACCTTGGAGTGTGTCTGACCAGTGTTGTTCATCCTGGGTCCCAGCAGTGAGTAGTGAGTCTCCAAAGCAGCGTGAGGAATCTGCATTTCCTGAGAAGCTGAACGAGCAGAGGATCTGTAGGCAGGCTAATGTGGAGTGCCCCTTTCCATTGCAGTGACCACCCCCAGAGCCAGCTGGTTTCAGACTCGGAGTCGGAGATGGACAGCGTGGAGCATCTGGTCCTGGGCAGCACGGACACCCTTTCCAATGGGCACAAGGCTGACCTGGAGGCCGCCAAACGCCTGGCCAAGAGGCTCTACAACCTGGATGGCTTTAAAAAAGCAGATGTGGCTCGCCACTTGGGGAAGAAGTACGTGTGGGTAATAGCAAGGAATGTTCTGTTGTGCAAGGGTCTCACCTGCGCCTGCGGTGCACCCACAGCTGCTGCCCTTGCGGGGTACCAGGCTGGCAGGGAACAGCTGGCAGGCCCTCACAGCCATGACTGCTACATCTGCAGCAGGTGTTACCTCTGAAGGTCTTAAAACCTAAGAGACATCCAGATTTTGGTACCTTCCTATCATGACTGCATCTTGGATGCTTCAGTAGGGGGTTAGGGTAGGGGGATGGCTAGCTGACCTCTCGTGGGCCCTTCCAGTTCTAGTTTTTCCATTTTCTCTTACATACCCAGTATTCCTGTTGGATTTGTGGGTGACTTCTCTGGGTTTCATGGGATTGTGGGGTGTGTCTGTCCTCAGCACACCGTCTGCAACCCTGGGGAGTTCCCAGCCTCCTAGAATCCACCCAACTCCTGTGTGCCTTTGGCTGTCCCCACAGTTTGGTTGATCCCACTCTTACTCTCCCCCTTTTCTATTTCAGCAATGAGTTCAGCAGGATGGTGGCAGGGGAATATCTGAAGTTCTTCGTGTTCACGGGGATGAGCCTGGACCAGGCTCTCAGGTCAGAGCTGAGTGTATGTACATGTGCATGTGTGTGGTGGCCACCAGAGTGAGGTCCCAACAGACCGTGCCCTCTACAGCTCTGCAACCACACAGAGATCTGCACGAGCAGGCTGAACCCATGACTCCCCAGCTGGAGATCCTCTTACCTCTTAAACAGGAGAGGGTGATTCCCAAGGTGATCTCTCAGCCACACAATAAAGAAAGAGCATCCCCAGTCTTAACTCAATGGTCAGTGCAGTCGGATGACAGTCAGGTTCACCTAGGCCTGGCTTTTCAGGTCTTGAACTCGAATCCTTCTGTTGTTACCTCCACCTCCTTTCCTGGTGTAGCTCCTGGGACTGGCTGTAGGCCTCTGCAATGTGCCAGCAGGATATGGTGCTGTGGGTTTGGAGGAGAGTCCCACAGTGGGTTGGGAGGGAGGGATGTGAAACAGTGGGGCTTCATCCAGCGCACGGGGGGGTCTCCAAACCAGAAACAACAGTTCCATTCCTGCGCAAGGGGGATTGGAGAAACTACTGGGGGGCTTCATGTGTGACCAGCACTGCTGCTGCTTTTTCAGGTCCTTTCTAAAAGAGCTGGCCTTGATGGGAGAGACGCAAGAGCGAGAGCGAGTGCTGGCTCATTTTTCGCAGCGCTATTATGAGTGTAATCCCAATGCCATCCCTTCAGAAGGTAAGAAACTGTACATGTCTCTGTGTGTGTGTGTGTGTGTGTGTGTGTGTGTGTGGTGTGTGTGTGTGTGTGTGTGTGTGTTTCAAGGGAGTCTGTGTGTTTGTCAGCTCAGTCAAGATGCTCAAAGTGAAACTAGAGAGCAAACTGAGAGCCTATACTGACACCTTGGAAGATAGCCCTGGTTACGGAGATGTCATTTCCCTCAAATGACAGCTGCTTAGATTATTTTTTTTTAAGCCTGCTTTGGCTGGGTGATGCATAATTAGGACTCAACCCATCCTTACTTCTGACCTTGAGCAGATTAGCACAGGAAGCAAGAGATGGCCCTCCTCACCAAATAGACCTCAGCTCTCAGACCCTCAGCTCAGGGAATATCCAAGTGAGAAAACCCATGTACCTGGCACTTGGGGAGCACAGATACTCACTTTGTACTGTTTCATGTCTTTGCATCTCTTCTGTGTGTGCTCACTTGCTGAGTCTGCTCTGAGCTGGCTCTGGGACAGGTGAGGTTTGGGTTGCCTGGCTGGCAGAGGGCTGTGCTGGTCCTATCTTGCCATGCTAGTAGCTCTGCAGGATTAGCTACAGCATCACTGCCTGGCTGTAGGGGCTGCAGGGTTGGAAGGGAATTTGTATGCTCAGGTTTGGGGCCAGCTTTAATCCAGCGACCTCCTACCTACTTGCCCTCACGCTGTCATCACTACACTGACTGCTGTGTGCTCCTTGTGCCTGGGGCAGGAGGAAGGGGCTCAGGCCTATTTTGGAGGCTCAGAGCCCCTGTGCCCTGCCTGAGATGCCAAGGGTCTGGAGCACCAGCTACAGGGCTGAGCTGGGGGCTCTAATTCCTGTCCTGTGCTTGTGCTGCAGATGGAGCCCACACCCTCACCTGTGCCCTGATGCTGTTAAACACAGATCTACATGGACATGTAAGTTAACACTGCCATTGCCCCAGTCTGTCCCCTGTCTGAGCCCATCACCCTGAACCATAGGTGCTGGGGCAAGAGTGAGGACTTGCAAGGACGGAGCCACGTGAGCAGAAGGCATGGGACCCTGGGTCCACAAGCACTGGTCACCCTTAATGTGTCTGGTGAGGAGAGAGGAGACAGGCTGAATGAGAGGAGGAGCTGGTGAAGGAGAGAGGGGGGCTTTGGGGGAGACTCGATGAGCTGGAAAATGTAGAGGTGGGATGAGGACAGAAGAGAAAAGTGGACAGGGAGGGAAGGTGGGAATGAGACTCCAAAACCAGCTGCCATTGGGAGTGGGGAGACTATTTCAAATTCCTGGAGTCTATGTAAAGACAACAGCTTCCCCATACCTGCAAGCAGCCTCCCTGATACCTGGCTGGTCCCTCACCCCTCTGCAGAGATGGGTGTCTGTTCCTGGGCTGTGGGACCTGCTCCAGCCACTATTGATCTCTGTCCCAAAGGTAACCCCCACATTTCTCTCCCCCTGGCTCCCCCAGAATATTGGGAAGAGAATGTCCTGCTCTGACTTCATTGGCAACTTGGAGGGACTCAATGGAGGCACTGACTTCCCCAAGGATTTGCTCAAGGTAAATTCAATTGTTCTCCCTGGCCAGCCAAGCAGGAGGAGCAAAAGTGAGAGCTTTGGGCTGGATCACATGGGGATACTATGAATCACACTTGGATCACACTGGGATGCTATGAATGCAAGATGCATTAACATGCAAGAACAGTGGTGGTCCTTGGGCCTACAGTTTTCCCCCTGCCTTGCTGAGGGGAACATGGGCTGTCCTGTTCCCCCAGAGGAACACCGGAGCTCCGGTTGGGATCCTGATTCCCTCACTGCTCTTGCTATGCCGGTATCACAGGCAAGGGAGCTTACTCTCACAGACATGGGGCAGCTTGCTAAGGTTGGTTTGCCCAGCTGCAGCCAGAGGCTTCATGGCATCATCACAATGGTACTCTGCCCTTCCTGACTCCCTGAAGCACTGGAGCCCAAAGCTTTGGCCAGGCCCTGGGACTGGAGCCATCTCTGGTGGTAGAGGTGACATGGGCAAGGCATGGAAGTGGGGATGGTGGGCTGCAGGTTAAAGCCTCAAAGCTGGGAACTCACCACACTGGTGTGACTGAGGGTATCCTGCCTTCTCCCTGCCTAACCCTGTTCCCAGAGGGACTTGGCCAGGGAGGGCAGTGTTAAGCAAGCACCTCTGGCCTTGGACTGCTGTGCTTCTCTGGCATCGCCTGTTCTCAGGATGGTGTTCTGCGCTGCTGTCTCCCTGTCTTAGACCCTGGGAATAGGCTTAGATCCCATGGGCTCTGCCAGGCAGAAACCGTTGCTGTTGGTGAAGCGCTACAATTGGAAAATACTCATGATGTGGAAAATGGGTTCCCACAGGGTGCTGGAGCCACAATGGGGGGAGGTGGTTGAGGAAAAAAGGCAACAGAGGGTGAAAAGCTGAGCTCCCTTTTCAGCCTCTGTGGGTCTATTCCTGGCTGTGTCGCTCACCCCATCATTAAGGGGTTACCAGCAGTTCTCAATAGGGCTGTCCTCCCTCTCAGCCCACGCTTTGCCAGTAAAAGGAGTTACTCAGGAAAAATTCTCCTATCATTTTAAACCCAGCTCCAGAAAAGGCTTTAAGCACCCAAAATGGATGGAAACATCCAAAATGTGGACCCTGAACCCTTGCCCTTCAGTGCTGCTGCACTTTGGAGTATCCAAGCTCCACAGACTCCTTAGTGCACGCCCTTTGCAGCCCCTGGTGCCCCACAGTGGGCTACCTGCACTTGAGGCATTGCCCTGTTCCTGTTAAACTTCACCCCTAAAAGTACCAGCAGTTTAAACATGTGAGATCAAGTTACCCCGTCAGACCACTGGGAAATAGGATAGTGAGGAAGTGCCACAAAGCTACAGGCTTTCTCTTATAGGCAGTGGCCAAGACCTTTGCTGGCTGCAAGGGAGTGGGGGAGGCTGCAGTGCTGCAGCACAGCCCCGCACAGCTCTGCCCGCGGCCCAGCAGCTGGGAGGCTGCTCTGCTAAAAATGGCCTGTTCCCTCTGCAGCTGCGGTGCTTCCCACCGCCGCTTTTCAGCCGCCTCTGTACAGGAGCCATGCTGGGAAGGGGGAGTAAAAGGCAGTGTGAGAAACCTCACATGGGGCAGGCTGCAGCTCCTCACCTGAAACACCATTCCACTTGGGGAACCCCCTGCCTGTGCAAGGCGGAGTGGGGCCGCAGGGCAGGTGAGATGGGCTTGTGCCAGAGGGAGGACTGGCAAGGAGGGCCTGTGCCTCTCTTGGGCAGCCTTTGCCAGGCTCAACAAGAGAAGACCCTCTTTCGCTTCTGCCCAGTGCTTTTGGCTGCTTGGTGCTCCGGTCTCCACACAGGCTGAGGGAGAAGACAAATGGGGACAGGCTCACTAGCCCTGTTACCCTGGGTAGGATGCTGCCTCCTTGGCAGACCTAGCTGGCGGGCTGTGCTTGGGGACTGAGGCTCCTGTGCAGGCGTGCCACACAGCTGTCTGGCTAATTTTAGTGCTCCAGGAGCACACGCATTTCCTAAGGGTAGCAGGAGAGAGGAAGGGCTAGCAGGCTTTGCAGAAGCTTCCCAAAGCTCAAGGCTGGGTCTTGGGCAGCTCCAGCAGCACAGAAGAAAGGTCCTGGGGGCTCTTCCAAGCCTGCCTAGGTAGATAGCACAGGCTGCTACAGCACGAACTTCGAAGCTGGAGGGCTGGAAGTGGCTCTCGCCCACAGGGAATCTCACCACCCGGGAATGGGGGCAGCAAGAGAGGACCTAGGTGGCTGCAGGGGCACAAGGCCACTGTCCCCTTTGACTCTGGGCACACTGTCAGGAATAGACCCACAGGGAGCCTGAGCACTCCTCTTGTCTCTGGCTGCAGGGGGAGTCCCAAGACAAACACAGTGTGATGCCTGAGAGCTTGTGGCAGCTTGAGTCAGATGAGAACTTTATCTGCTACTAGCTAATACATGTAAACAATCCCAGTTTTATGCAGAAGCAATGAAAACACTTTAAGAGCTTTCACAGCTGAGCACCACATCCCCCTCACTGACAGTGCTTCACCATACCCTGCACAGCACTGCTGCTGGAGCTAAGGCAGTGATGCCTTACTGGCACTGCTGCTGGAAACCCTTTCCTGTGGCTCTGGAAGCTCCTCTGGAGAACTATACTCTGCAGAAACGGCTGCCCTCCCTTCCTCAGGCATGGAGCCATGCCAGGGATATAAGAACCCATGTAATGCCATGCCTGAAGATGCCCGCATCTGCAGGCTTGGACCTGAACTCCTGTGGCCGTACGAAGGCACTGCCCATACAGAAGGAAGGAGGTGAAGGAGGTCATCCTGGAATTGGTGGTATTTTGGTTAGCTCTTGAGATGTTGCTTTTCTCTTGACAGTGTGATTTTAGCCCAGGCCCCCTGGGATTTCACTCGCTGGTTGTCTGTTATATTTCAGATGTGGATTTGACCTTTACAAGATTGATTACTTTGTGGAGCCTCAGCTCATCCCCATCTTCCTTACTCTTTTAGTTTAACCTTGTGCTTTACTGGCTGGCAGAAAAGCAGTAGGACTAAATCAGGCCCAATTTCTCCCCGTCACTGCTTAGCAATTGCAGGAATGAGGCAAATCTGTGCTGCCTTCCAGCCTAGAAGCCCAGAGCACGTCACAGATGTTAATGAATTAAGCCTGACAATGCAGTCGGGTCCTCGGGGGAGGAAGGTAGGATGGGCCCCCACCTTCCAGCTTGGAGGCACAACAGCAGGGCTCAGACGCTCAGAGTGCTGGGTAAGTGATTAGCAATGTGGGAAGAAAGCCCTGGCTCCCACCTCTGAGCTATAATCACAGAAACGCTTGCTCAGTCTAATCCCTCGGGCTATTTTTTTTTTGCCTGTTTCCCCTGGGAGCAATATGCCGCCCTGCCCCAGCTCCCTTGGCTCCCCCCAGCCTCAGGGGCAGCCCAACATATCTGATGTGCCAGGCACCCATGCCCCCTCCCTCACAAGTTGTGCCCAGTGATCCTATGCCAAGCAGTTAGGATAGAGTGGAAAATTTCCCCCTCTCCACTGGCTGCATCTCCTGCTCAGTCAAGCCTAACTAAATTACGCATCGATCCTCGCCTTCTGCAAGGATGCCCAGCTCTTTGCATCTTCACAGGAGCAGCTGCCTGAAGCATCTCTGTCCTGCCTGTAACCAGCTGAGTGGCTCTAGCTACTGCCTGACCTGGGAGGGACAGGCAGGAGTGTTAAGCTTGGGGTGGGCACTGAAGATGGAAGGTCTGAGCACATCTCCACTGGGCCCATCTCCTACCAGCTTTATAGGTCTCTGGGGTGGACAGGGCTGCAGCAGCAGCTCTGAAGCCTGCCCAGATAGAACCGAGTGGAGATGCCACCCAGCCCCTGGAGCCCAGGAGATGCCACCACCGCAGCCCCACAAGAGCCCAGGAGGGTCCAGCCACCTGCTGGACCTCCGCGGAGAGGAGGCAGGGACGGCCAGCTGATGCAGCGGGGGCAGCTCCATCAACTCGCGTGGCATCAGCACCAGGGATGCTGTCCCCGCGAGTGGGATCTGTCCCCGCTGGTGGGATGCCGTCCTCCCGGGTGGGATGCCGTCCCCCCGGATGCAATCTATCCCCGC